ACTTAAATGACAGTATCTTAAACAGGATTGCAAAGCTGTGTATTTGTCAGGCTAAAGATAGATGCTTGAAGCTACAGAGAACAATATGATAAAGGAGGAACTAGATTATACTGAAGAACTGGGGTGCACAGACATGGCAGAAAACCATTGGCTTTGTTTTCAGCAAACATGTGCTTCATATACTGAAATCTGAGATAGACAGAAGAATTAAAAAAATGGACCAAACCCTAAACCAAATATAAAAGGCTACAGATCTGACCGTAGAAGCAGTATAGTAAAACACTATAGTAGTATTTTTCTACAGTCAATAAAGACAAACTCCTGGAAATTATTGAATATTGGTAGTGTGGCAAAGGTAGTCAGGAAAATATATTAAACAAAAAATAGAGGAAAAGAAGCATTTTCCCACATGTAGAAGTCCTCAGCAACATTTGATGGAACCAAGAACTCAACTCTAGAGGGTTCAAAAAAAACAAAACAAAACAAAAGAGCACACATGCAAGAGCACACATGCACACTTCCTGTTCTAACACTAAATCTTCATTTCTCAGTTTTCCACCTCCTTTTTTGAGGACATTTTTTTTCCCCATATTCTCTCCTCATGCAAAGCTGCTTAAGCACATTTCACTGACATTGACAAAAGTTCTGTGGCGAAGAAAATGACATTTTCTGTCAATTCCTGAACACTGCAAAAAGGTAAAGACCATTAGTGAGACAAAGGAAGGAAATGCTACACACAGTGGAAGGATCTTCCAGAAAAATAAAACTGAGTGTCATATTTATTAATAAAATGATATCTCTTGAAGGAGGCAAAAAACACGCTACTATCCTGAAAGTTTTCCAGAAGTGTTTTACTTAAGTATTAAAATAATGACCCACATGAGCTCGGTTAGTTCTCTAACTCGCTAACATACACACAACATTCCAGTATTTCCTGCACTAATGGATCATGGTTTCTGTTTGTTGACAGTTGGTATTTTAAATACACTTTCTTCTAAAGTGCTTCTGTTTTATAAAGGGGGACAGGCAAACTTGTTGACGTGAATTTGAAATAACAGAGAATATATAGACTGGCTGCGTATGGTTGCTCCAGACCGTAGTATGGGGTGGAGTGACAGCCAATTGGAACATTACGCATTTTATACAAACACAAATGAATTTGAGTACGGATTTCCAAAAGGAAACAGTGGCATGGAACAAAGCATTTACACCTAACCCACACTATAACATCATGCCACAAAGGGTGGTATGCATTGAAACTTGAGTGAGAAGCAGGAATGATTTTGAGGCAGAACACAACACGATTGAATACAAAGAATGCCGATCTCTACAATTTCATCTATTAAACACTAGAAGAGCATTCAACACATTAGCATGAAAGAGAGGATACACTGTTCAGTTGTTTCAGTAGCTTTAGCATTAAACTATAATAATAATGGTCCTAAGAGATTAAAATGGAATAGAGATTGGGGTGCAAGACATCTATACAGGATGAAATTATCCAAACAAAATTCAACTAGACCACAGATGTTATTATTCCTCTTTCGAACGTGATATAGACTATTCAGTGCCTTTAAATTATCAGGGTCTAAGCACATCGGTTCATTTCTTCATCAGCTCACAGTGAAACATAATATACTAAAATAACAATATTATTACTTCAGACGTCAATTTTCCTCTGGATGTTTCTCATCTAAGAGCCAACTATGGCCAGTGTGAATGAATGGCAGCTTTCAGTGAAATACTATTTCCGAAGGACTGTTTCTGAAGGCACTAAGCAACTTTCTCTTTTTAATCTATATTTTATTTTGATACAGGAAGCAAAAACAAAGATTACGTATTTAAAGAAATAGAAAGACAACCTTCAGATATACTGAGTCAGAAGGTCTCTAACAAAACCTAGTGGAATTCATTTGTGTTTTCAATTTCACCAGAATGCAATGTAAACAACCATGGGAATGACATAGCCAACTTTTAAATTAAATCCTACAATGAATAATTTATATTTTCAAACAAGGATTAGAAGTCCCATTCAATTGCAGAGTTTCAAGGGTGGCTTTAATAATTTACATGCTTTCCAAAGGTGAATAAAATACCCTCCTGAACAAATATCAAAACAATCCAAATATTTTATTTGGAAAAACAAAAACAAATACAAAAACAATGACAACAAACAACACCATGATTGACAAAGGAAGGGACCACTTGTGTAAAGTTGAATGTGTGTGCTGTGGGTGGGAGGTAGTCAGAAGAACTCTACTTTTCAACGTAGATGTTTCCATATCCAATTTCTATCATGTACCAAAAGAAAGAAGGAAAAAAAACATTACCAACAGCAAAATCTGCATGTGTCATTTTCCTCTTGAAATTCTACTAAAAAACAAACAAACAAAAAAAAAACCACAGATGTAGGAGGCCATTCTCTCCCAGCAACTGGAAAAGAATTCCAGGCTAAACATTCTCACTATTATCATGGCTATCTCTGACCTTGCAGGAAGAAATCAAATACACATGATAAACACTCTGCAAAGCACTGCCACCTGGCTACAGGGAACACATACTGGCCTTAGGTGACCTATTTGAAGTATGGCTGCCACACTGGTGTTTTTGCAGATAAACTAGCTCCCTTTGCCATAATTCACAGTCTCTGTTCTTTGCAGTCCTAATAAATATTTTTCCAATATCTTTATCTTGAACACGTGTGTCCTCTGAAAGAGGACGAGGCATATTATGCTTGATACAGACTCCTCTGTTCTGGTAAACTCAGTGCAACCCGACTGCAAGTGATCTATATCTTAAACGCTCCAGCAGCATTAAGGTAAAATTTAATGCATGACAAATGTCCTGTACTGCATCATAGTTCATAAATTAATTACACAAGCTGCATTGATTTTCCTTTCCTTGTGAAGAAATAGTACAGAAGATGGTTGCTTCTTTCAAACACAGCACAGTCATTAGGCCATTTAAAAAGGCATATTCTTGATCAAATAACAGCTTGTAATTTTGGTAACTGGTATGACAGTTTTAAAAACATTCAACATTCTTAATCAATATCTGCTCACTGTGGTACTGATATTAGTTAGATTTACTATGTCATCTGAAGTAATATATGAAAGAAAAATATTTTCCAACTAGACAATTCATCATATATCTACTGCAACAGAATAAAAAAAAAATGCAAAGAATAATCAGGTGGTAAAAGATCAAACAGACCCCAAACCAAAATCTCAGTCAAAAGGAGACTGCTGGTGAAAATGTTTAGACCAATGAGTAGTCACCTCCAGCTTGACCATAAGCAGATGAGAAGGGTGAAATATAATTTTACAGAGATGAAAATGAAACGTGGACAAGTTGTTGCCCAGGACAGCACCAGTAAATGAACACAGATCATAGAATTGTAGAATGGCTTGGGTTGGAAGGGACCTTAAAGATCATGCAACTGCAATCCCCCTGCCACGAGCAGGGATGCCATCCACTGGATCAGGTTGCTCAGGACCTCAGCTAACCTGGTCTTGAACACCTCCAGGGATGGGGCATCCACAACCTGAGCAACCTATTTCAGCATCTCACCGCCCTCTGAGTGAAGAATTTCCTCCTAATCTCTGATCTCAATCTGCCCTCTTTTAGTCTAAAACCATTCCCTATCGCCCTGCCATTATCTGATTGAGCAAAGATTTGCTCTCCATTTAGCCTGGGTCTTCACAAAGACCATCCACCCTGACCTTAACAACCCTATTATAAATTGGGAATGCTTTCAACCCTATGGAATTTTAAGGAATTAACACGAGGCTTTCCAGAGAAGTAGCTATCATAAAGCAGTCTGCATCACTGTCACTGCTAGGGGAATTCATTTTCAGTTTCTGAATGCAGTGCTCAAGTGAAAAGTGGGGGTTCCGTACAATAGTGTTATGAAATACCACTATCAGCAAAAGAGATACACCCATGTCTTGTAAAGACCATGCTTGATCTTTCTGGAATTCAAAACTATCACTATACCTACTGATTATTTACTTGGGAGAGTTTACCATTTTACACTGGGAGTGGGAGGGGAAGGAGAGGAAGAATTTGAAACCTATTTTATTATTGCTAGTGGACATATACGACACTAGTTTCATGGAAGAATTAAGGCCACAAACTTCCTGTTTTTTTCACTATCATTCATTTGGCCAGACTGTTTTCAGATGAGAGAGTCCTTGCTAAAATTAGCTGCCAAATTCCCACTGAACTAAATGTTTTCAGAATGCTGTAGACACCGCATCTCAACAGTCTTGGAACTCAGTACTGCTGTACATTGAGGCACTTTACTCCCACTGATTTTTTATCAAGCTGTAAAAAATCTCATAGCAATCAAAGTTCCATAACACCACACATATAGTTTGTAGCCTCAGCCTTAAAACAATGGATCAGTATTGTGAGCACTGATGAAAATGTTCAAAAAAGTAAATCAGGAAAACAAGAATCCTGTGGCGTCTGTATGCACAGTGACACAGGCAAAAAGGAAAGCATCTTCTCATTAAGAATGTATTTAATAATATTTTTAATTCTTATTTTTAATAGCCTCTCCCTCTTCCTTGACTTCATTTTATCCAGTCTCACTGATACGTCTATTAAAAGTTGCCATGAAAAGCCATCTTTTCCATTGGTGTGAAAACGACAGATGAGGGTGGTTGGAGCAAGGGCTGGCAGACTGCTTAATACTCCTTCATGATCCTATGCTGTGTGGGCAGAGCATAGTACCAGCACCAGCTCTCCCAACTGTAGTAAAATTTCATCCTGTAAAAATGTGACTGCTGTTTTGAACATGGTAAAGCTCAAAATCATCTACATGGCCTTTTTTTTTTCCCCCCTCCTGAAAAGCTTAATTAAAAAATGTCCTACTAGATTACAATTATTTTGAGCAGTCAATCTACTTTCTGGGTTGTTTCCAGCTTAATATATATAGCATCCGCTTAAGTAAAAATCTCTCATTTGTCAAATTAATGTATTGCTGCTTCAAGTTATAAGACTTTTCATAATTATTTTTAATAGAATATCATCAGTCACCTTTTTAAAAACCATATTAATGTACACCGGCTGTTAAAAGAAAATGAAGGGGACAACTTATCCCTACAAAGATCAGCCAGACAGAGAAAGTTATATAGGAAACACAGAACATGAAATACCATTCCAAGAATATTCTGACAAGGGGTTCTCTAGGTTTTCCCTCCACGCTGAGCTATGGCCACGCACAGGCAAGGCTGTAATGGTGAGACAAGCCATACATTCTCTCCGGTTAACAGGCTGGTTGATCTGTAGCAAAAACCCTGCAAAGCAGATTCACCATCTTTTTCAAATGGTTACATTAGAAAGAGAATTTCAAAGTTATGTTTGTATACATAATGTAATAATATGAATATGTAATGTCATTTCTATTTCTAAAATATTCTGAACCAATCAGAGAAAAGATAGACAATGGGATCCATATGTCAGATATTTTATCTACTGGATACATGTGAGAAAGTGCAGAAGTGAGAAAGACAAATTACAAACAATAAATCATATAAAACTAAAAATGAATCATTTTGAAGTAATTGCAACATCATCCAGGCTGTTGAAGATGATCACATATAAATCGTTATGCCCACAAGGACAGGGAAGGCATTTGTTCTGGGATTGTATCAAGTACCCAGCACATGTCCCTGAGAATTTGTGAGAGAGTGGAAAGAGCACTCACCACTTGCCTGTTTGTGAAGAACTGTCAAAAAACAAGGAAGCAAGTGGTAATCCAGGGAGATGGACTTGTTAGTTTCAAGTTTACCATGGAAGAGGAAACTCCAGTGACCTACCACTTCCAAAACTGTCCACTTCCTTTCTTGTTGGCTTTCTGATGCCTTAATTTTGTCAGGAGATTAATCAACATCAGGCTAAATACTGCCATCAGATGTGTGGATGTACAAGGTAACAGGACATGAAGTTACAGAAGAGGACAGAGAGGAAGACAGTTTGAGTGGCTAATGCTTTGTAATACCAAAGCACATTGACAGCTGCAACTGCATGCCAAAGCGTACCACTAGAGGCATCCTCACTACAGCACAGTTAGTTGTCTTTCACATATGGTAAAACAGTGACACTGCTAGCCAGCAACAGATGAACACAGCATCAGCCTAGAGCTGGATGTCTGATACAGTCTTTACTTACTCATGGTAGCCTGCACAGTCAGAGGAGGGGAAAGAACTTCAGCAGGTATAAAAGCTTTTTTTCCCATCAAAGTGCACAAACTTTGCTGTTGAATGATTTCTGCCTACAAATGTCATTTTCTGAAGCCTATCTCAACTTTTCCTGAAGATTTTGGATGTAAGCAATTTTGCCACAAAATAAGGCATTCTCCATCTTCAGTTTCTGCCAAAAAAACAAGAAAGAACTGGAATAAGAATTAAAGCCAAGCACCTTAAGCACTGTAGAGGGAATTTCTGTCTATCTTGCATGTAACAGGCATTAAAATCAACTTGAAGAGCAGGAGCAATCAACATATCTGCTTATGCTGAAGTTTGTTTCACTCTTGCTTTTCAAGTGCCTTAATTTTCAAATGCAAATGATTATGGTAAAGTGCCGGAATGCTAGAAGGCAACATTTGGAAATACAAAGCAACTTGGTACGCCTTGGTGGGCTTGAGAGCTTCCAAATTTGCATGGGAAAAATATAGACAGTAATATAGAAGAAATAATATATATATCACACAAAGTTTCTGGAATTGGGATTTTTTTTCCTTAACTGCTATTTTGAGGACCATAATGTCATTCAGATTTTTCCATTAAACATTTAAGAAATACATTTGTTTCCAGACTTTGTTAAAAGCTAGATTCCCCAAACCCTGTATTGCTGCTGATTTCAATTATTCATCATTATAATAAAAATGCAAGATGGTTTAGTAAAGATGATAGAATTGGGTCCTTGTGGTTTAGTGGTAAGTGCAGTTTTTTTTCCGGAGTCTAATTTACATGAGACCAATATGCAAACAAATATATTCCACATACCATCGAGTATTCAGCAGTCAAATGCACAAGATGATCCCACTTCAGAGCTACCATCGTTACAAACTGCAGCTGCTCTGCTCAAGAATAGTTTAGCAACATCCTAAGAACATGGAAAATTCCTGCTTGGTTATCTTTCCTACTACAATTAGAACAGTTAGTGAAGACACACTGGGCTATCATGAAAAGAAAAAAGCAGAACTAATTCACCTTTGCAATGCATGTTAGAAGACAGAAACAGGAAAGGAAAGGGAAAAGGAAAAGGAAAAGGAAAAGGAAAAGGAAAAGGAAAAGGAAAAGGAAAAGGAAAAGGAAAAGGAAAAGGAAAAGGAAAAGGAAAAGGAAAAGGAAAAGGAAAAGGAAAAGGAAAAGGAAAAGGAAAAGGAAAAGGAAAAGGAAAAGGAAAAGGAAAAGGAAAAAAAGGAAAAGGAAAAGGAAAAGGAAAAGGAAAGGACTGCTGAAGAACTACTACTACTTGATTCTCATTAAGATACATGACCAACAGATAGAGAGTCATTTTTCACTACACTGATAGGAGGCATCAGATCCTCGTGTTCCACAGAAGGAACTGGAGTAATTCATAAATGCTGATGAAATGGCCATCATTTTAGTTCTTTGTACTCACTAGTTTTATAGTGAGAATTCAATAATGTAGATTGAAGAGGACTTTCAAAGTGCTTGCCAGCCAGTACATTTTAAAGGATATTATGTATAGGCATGGGTTGTTCACTTACACATAAGTTTAGAAGGAAATATTCCTTTAGAGCATTTAGTCTTACTGCTTCACTGAGGTGAACTGAAACAGAAATCTTCTCTATACATTTTAATTCATCATGAAGTGTCTGAAATCTCTAATCTTCCGGTAACCCGCATCTCTCCTAGGCCCTCATCTTACATTAACCTCATCAGCCCTTATCAGTGTTTGAAATATCTTAACTTTCAGAAATCCTGAGACAAGATTTTCAATAAGAATCTTACAATAAACTGTTCCAGCTCTCAGAAGATGTGTTATCAAATGTTTCTGCTGAGGAATAAATGTAAAGACCACTGTCTCTGCTTACAGCATTACCCTCAAGACACCAGAAGTTCCAACATCACTTGAAGCAAAAAAGCACTCTGTATTTCCAGTTCACTAAATTGTATGATCCTTTTTGATCTCCTAGGGAGAGCAAGTCACAGATTTTAGGCCATTTATCTGAAAATAAAATTGTATGTTGCTGACTTCATTATCTGTACCTTTTCTCCCCCAAGTCAATCACTCTGAAAGTATTTATTTCTCTTGACAGTGGCTTTTGGAAAGGCATTTGACAACAACATGCATCTGAAATCCTCTAGGCAGAGGCTAATGTAATAAGTAAAATTCATGGATCAAGGAAGGAAACATATGCACCAACTATCTTGTACACTAGTTGCTCTGGAGATCAAATCTCTTTGATATTAAACTGGCATAATGGAAAAGTAACTCAATGAAGCAACACATGATTTAAACCAGAGCATGAGAGAGTCCCAAAGGGTAAGAAAAGTAAGAAATAGTTCCAGTTATTTAAAAATATATTATCTTCATGGAAAATTGCTTTTAAAATTGATTTCTTAATATTATGATTTTATTTCTAATCACAAACATCCACGCCAGAACTCTGCTTGCTTACATCAGATGTTAATGTTAAAATTGGCTACTAATCAGAATTGGTGCTTCTGATTGTGGAATAATTCCTTATTCCTTTCCACAACTCTATGACCCAACGCCTGAGCTACAAACTGTGCAGTACAAATTCATTTTATCTGAAAGACTTCCAAATTGTCCTAATCAAATGTGTGCCTTAAATAAATAAACAAATAAATAAAGCATTGAAGTGTTCAGTGCAAATATGGCTACTAAAATGTTCTCCAAAAAGCCTTCTCAGTATTTTTTCTAGCCCTAAAAGTTTACATTTTTAAGAAGCAAATGCAAGGTAAGAAGGAAATCAAAATGACAAACTCAAGGCAACTTCTAGATTTAATATAGCTTTACCTGTGCAGTTGATTTTGACTTCTGTAACACTGCATTGTCCTGCTAGTCCTTATTACATCCCACAGGATCCCACATTTAGTCCCTGGATATAGCATTTGTAATGAGAGTGGATAAATAATAGCACCAAGTGTGCCTGGCCAGAAAACTGCCTGGCCAGGGAGCTAAGCCCTGACACGATAAACAGTGACTCACAAAACCACATACATCTTCACTGCTTAAAATGTCTGCTTGCCATGGAGACAAAAGTGCTGCTCAGCTCCTAACAGCACATACACTGCAACTTACTGCATTTGTTCCAAACTGTTCCAGTTAATCACTGTACGAATCAAATCCGATTTTCTGAAACTGACAGCTATATGACAGCAATAGAATAAAAAACAGTGGAAAAGAAAATAAGTGAACTTCACAGATGGCCTGTCAAGTTCGACCCTATGCACACTCTGTTCCTTAGTTCTGCCATAAGATGCATTTATGTACTTATGGTAGATAAGAGTACAGCAGTAACTGTATCTGTGTTCCAGAAATACCACCTCAGGCATCCTAGCTCTAGCTCAACTTGCTTTAGGATGTCCTCAGATCTGATAATGCAATATTATTTCTAGCTGGGAATAGTTTCAGAATTATTGTATGGGAGCAATATAGAACCTTTGCAATGCATTGTTTTTTCTGTAAATTACCTCCAAAGGCTTCAAAGTTATTTTTCTAAGCCCTAATAAATACCAAAGACCCAGTGTTAGCAGCAGCTTTGTAACAATATGACTGGAGCCAGGTGCAAAATGTAAAAACAGCTCTGTGATATGGCATATTTAGCTCTTAAATTTCCAGGCTCTCATTGTAAGGTTTGATGAGACAAGGATTATCAACAGTTATGATGTCAATAATCAATTACATTTTTATCATTGTCCTCTTAAGAAAACCTTAATATTTTCTGAAAACATACTCAAATTTACTTTATCTCTCCCCTCAAATTGTTAAAAAAACAAATGTTTCTTAAAAAGCGTAGTCAGAAAAATAGAGCAGCACTACACAAGTGAATTTTTTATAACCAAACTACTGCTAATATTGTACACTAATGATTCTTACCTTTAATTCCAAGGACAGTATATATCCAAGTAATTGATGGACTGATGACTGTTCTGTAATAGGCTTATGTTTGAAGAATTCAAAAGCTACAACTCTGGTGGGCTGAAAGTTTCTTATCATAAGTGGACTGCACAGATAGATTTCAACAGAACTAGAGACTAGAAATATTCTACTAGTTTTAGCTTAGTGTTGCCATTCTTTCCATTCCTAAGCATGTTGTGGCAAAAGAATGTGCCAGCAGCTCTGGAACACCACAGTCTCCAACTATACATTACCAGAAAAACCTTCCACGTGGAAGGGTAGAAGGCACTATGCTAATAGTTTTCATCTGGCCTCCAATGCACTAAGAACTATGTTGTCTGCTACACATGTAGGTGCCTAAGAATAAAATCATTCATGCACCTAAATAACATATACAGGGATGAAAACACTAAACAGTTTACATAGGACTCACGACTGCTTTCAATTCTCTGCGTAGCAGAATACAGTCTCACAGCTTGTTTCAGAATGAGCATTAGCCAAGCACCATTTGAAGAAGGTTCAACCTAAATGCATACAATACAGCATCAGTCTACTATGGAATGAATATGAGCAAACAACATAAAACTGCAGTTAATGTTTGTTTAAAACAAATGTTTTAATGATGAAAAACTTTGAGTATGCTCAATGTTTTTTTTGTGATAGCTACAAAACTGCTTTGTCTGGTATTAGAATGAATTTACTCTGGATCTCAGGAAGATGATTGAGAGATGACTTTATGTATAAATAATCACAGAATAAGCAATGGAGAAACAAACGTTATGTTAAAAAAACATAGAAAATTCCAGGCACCAAAGATTGGATGCCACAACTGGGAAAATTTAACTGGAAATTAGCCAGGTATTTGTTTCAAGAATTTTTATATTCTGGAAGGAGGTGTGGGCAGCAGTAGAATTATCAGTTCTCTCTGGTCTACCTGATGTAGATCAGAAATGTCTGTAGAGAAGTTCTGAATCATGGAGAATTAGTCAGGAAAAAAAAAAGTCAGCATGAAGACCAACCGAATTATGGTTATTCTTCTAGCTTTAAAAGGTTTGTATTTTTAAATAATTTTTGATTCACAGTAATGTAATCTATATATACTCATGGCTCAGATAATTTTATTTTCTCAGGTTTATAGATGTAACTTATTTTATTACTTGCTATATCTCAGCTCAATCAGCAGAGATCGTCATTTGTGTTCTGGACTGTCTTAGTTTTGAAAGGGTTCAAAAATATCAGGAAAGATAGAATGTTTTATAAATAATTCTGTTATTATAAAGGAAATTAATTATTTCAACCCACGTTCACAGCTACCAAGTCAGCATATATCAATTTTATATGATTGCTATCAGTTGTTTATACAAAAGAACACACAAATGAAATCAGATAGTTTAACAAAAAAAATTGTATTTCGATGTGTTTATATAAAATCAACACCATGATCAATTTTCCAGCAGCTCTGAGCATATAGGAGATCAGTAACCATTTATGGCTCCAAGTCAACAGTCTATGCTAAGAGCTTTTTCCACACATTACATGTAAGCTGTAGAATGCTACTGTTGATAACAGCTCTGTATATAAGGCCGTAGCCTACTTTTTTCAGTCAGTAGAGATGTAAAGTTACCTCAAAACATAATTGTTTTTGTTCTTTTGGGCTCATCAAGGCTAAAAGAGAGATCTCAGGTATGGAACTGGGATCACAAAGCAAAGAAAAGATCCATTGCACAGTATCAGAACTTATGTAAGCAAATAGGAACTCAAGGTGGAAACTATGTGGTAGTTCTGAAAATGCAATCCTACATGAATGATGTGATTCTTCAATATGATAAGAGACTAAGACTACTCCCACCTGACAAGAGAAGAAAGGCCTAAAAGGGATACTGACTGTTATAGGATATAGGATACTATGTTCTCTTTTGTCTTCCCCGCTCCTTTCTGTCCCAATTACAATGGCAAGTAAAGGAACAACTTGCTGGAAGATTTTCCATTTGGCATTAGTACAGTACCTAGAATACATACCCATAGGTAGATTTGACCTACAACACTCATATATATCAGATTGTAATAAAAAGACTAATGTACACTACTATTGTTTTTAAATCTAGTTATTTTAGAAGGAATAGATGAAATTCTAACTTCATACAGTTATCTGTATTTGGACTTTTATGTAATACAATCAGAATTTTGCCTGGTGTTCAACACCCAACATTGATTTCAACTTGAAAGATCTATTTTTCTCTCATCAGAAATGAGAGTTCTAAAAATGTGTTTCTGAAGGTATTCTTTTCTTTTTTTGCTATTTGAATAGCAATCTATACTGATTAGCATTTATGCTGTGGTGGAATCTTTAGAGCACCAGGTCCCTATTATTTTGTCACGAAAAAATTACACTTTTCAGCACTGCTGTTCTTCTTGTAAATCTCTCAATTTTTCAACTTATTTTTCTAAGGAAAATATCAATCCTTCTTGATATGTTTCTCAGAATACCAATGAAGAGTACAAAAACTAGACAGAACACAGAATGTGTTTTTAGAAGACAGTGTCTTCCATTGTTGATGTTGTTGCTGTCATTTCTAGCTTACACTGGGTAAAATTCAATGCTGCACTCTCCTCTGAAGTTTTTTGTTTGCTTGTTTACTTACATTTAAGTATTGTAGAAGTATTATGCCAAATGTGGAAATCACCATGAAGACTGTGAGGTAAATAATAGCAAATGAGTTGCTACAGTTTAACAAACTAGAGAGTGAGAGCTATAATGCATAGAAATTACATAATAGTATATTATTTTTCATAGTTAGTTTGTTGTGTTTTTTTTTTTTTCAATATTATGAACATGTCATTTTGCGTTGTGTATAGTAAACTTGTCTCCACACTAGATACACCCTACCCCAGACCAACCTTATTTTCACTGATTTGGTAGACAAAGTTCTTCAAAATCAGCAGAGCTGTATCAGAGATTAATTTGAACCACATTTTGAGTAGCTATTCATTTTACTGACTGTTGAGAGACAAATAGATATAGCCACTGATCTGGAAATAAATTAAAAACAAAGGAAATTAGAAGTCACTCCAGAATGGTTTCAGCTGTTGTTCAGTTTTCATATTGGTGAAATACTTCAGGACACTTCACTGGAACTTAACCAAAATACATGTATACTACATTGTGTGTTTTCCCTTCATAAGTGAAACTTTTAACCTAGACTCCTTTATTTGAAATATAACACACACTATTTTTTGGAAGCCATGCATGTTGGCAGGAAAGAGAGAGATGGAAAAGACTAGCTTCTAAGCAAATCGAGAATTGTACTGATGAAACAAAAACCCTAAACCAACAAATTATTTATATGGTCTATAAAACACAGAAATTAAATACCTGTGTAGAGTAGCCAGAGTTGACTCCCATCTGCTCTAAACTTTCACGCTCATATTCATTCATGGGCTTTACATAATTTTCTGCAAATAAACAATAATATATATTCCCAAACAATAATTGATTATTAATGGAATTGCACCTCCAGTAAATTTCATACCAGATGTCTGCCTGCATATAACACAAGGAAATATCATCTATCAGATTCATCTTTTCTATTTAGTGCACCTAAGTTTTTACAGTGAGTGTCCAACTGTGGTGTGTTTGTACATAATTACTTTTTTATATGTCAGATCAATTTTATTGCAAACTGAGGAAGAAAATCGGTGTCTAATACTAAATTACCAAGATATTTGCTAATAAACTGCTGATCATTGGAGTTTCACTCCAAGCAACACATGGTTTAGAAACTGTCTAAAACTTGTGAGGTTGTAGTTGATTATCTCACTGAGGAAGGACACACCATAGACTACATAAACTAAATGTTCTAAACCATTTGTCCCTGTAATCCCTTATCATTACCAAGTTCCTCTTCTAAGGTTCAAAGATCTCTCTTCAGAGCTTTTAAAATACTTTTATCCAATCCCCCTGAAACTTCTTACAATTTTTACAATTACTCCTTAAGTAGAAGAAAAAAAATATATAAGAAAGTACATCTTACAGACCAGTATGATAATCACACACCGAGCACACAACTGAACTGGAACATCATAATGAAATTTCATAGTATTCAGTATGTTGGATAGCATATATATTTTTATTTCATCTTTTAGTATTACAGTATTCCTACTCAGACATGATGCTCTATCCTGCTATTGCTTATCCATTGTGAATATTTCCTGTTAACCCTTAATAAAGAGGAAATCATGATAATATGGAGAAGTCCATACAAAAACGGACAAAATGTGAAAACTAGTATTAGTATTATAGTCTTTTTGTGTATATTTTCTTGGCATATGATTCATGTAAGTTCTGCAAGAAGGTAGATGAGGATGAGAAATTTTTAAATTTTATTTTTATTACCATTTCAGGAGACTACCAATACAGCTGATGGCACGTGTCTTTAAGTATTCAGACAGGATTAACACCCTGCAATTTCTAGTGATGAAAGAGCTTTAAAGGTAGTGTTCTCTTTTCTCTGGAAGGGAAGTCAAACTCAAACAAAACTTCAAAACCCTTTTCAACTTTATGACTTCAAATGATTCATGTGAAGACTGGTCAGTTACCTCTTTGCTTGAGTGACAATTGAGATGTATGTAGCCTAGAAGAACCTTTCCAGCAGAAAGGTTTCACATTTAAACAATTGATTTCAAGAGAAGCAGACATCATTTTGTCTTATGTAAACATACCGAAAAACAATAACAACAAAAACACAACAAAAACACTTCTATAGACTTCTCATGAAGTTTAACTATATAAAACAACAGGATTTCTATGATGTCCTCATATCCTACATAAGTATACATTGAAATGGCTGAATGGTAATATTTTTTAAACACTAGAAACACAGCTAGTTCAGCAAATTGCCTGTTGAACACACTGGTACCTTGCACGTATTTCTGACCAGGAAGTGAGCCAACTGACTAACAAGGCTTATTCATGTTGTCTCTTACCTCTTTAGTAGATAGGCTTTTCAAGTGGAAAGCTTCTCTAAAACTGGATTTGAAACAGCACCTTCCATAAGAGGGTCACAGCAGCATTTGAAAACATTCAACTATTACCTAAACATATAACCTAGCAAAAAAAAAAAAAAAAAAAAAAAAGCAGTCTAGATGAGATAAAACTCATTGGGGTGAAGCAAAGGAATAACAGTAACCCAAAGGGATAAATTAACGCCCAAAAATTAGAGCGCACAAATTAAATTCTCAGGTTCTGCAAGTATTGTCTATGCGCAATGAAAGGGAAGAGGTACAGAACAACAGAAGACAGAGCATGTATTTTAAATTTTTCACATGTATTAGTTACTTCAGTTATTTTTTTTTCAGTTGCTTTAATGTTAATTTGTGTTTGTAGGGCTGTGTGTACCTTAATTTCGATTATCAACAACAAAAAATACCTTTCATACACAGTAGAATAAGTATATCAGAAGCAGGACACTGGAAAGAAAAATGTTCAAACAGTCTTTTGAATACTGACTTAGGTACAAAAAAATTCACATTGGGTTGACCCAACTACTTTCTGCCTGCTACTTCTCTGTTTGTTTCCAGTCAGCATAGTATTAAATGTAATCACAAATACACATTGGGGCTCAAGTCCCATTTTCTGTATATAGCATGTTTCTTTATAAATTCTTGTAATTTTAGCGTGTATTTTACACAGGGTGTATTTAGAGTAACCTAAGAATAGAAAAAGAAAATGAGATAAAATCTGCAGACAGCACAACTATGTGTCTCACCTATGAAAAATTTTGAGAAAAGGCAGACCTCTACATATTGACAACTTCAAAAATGAGTTGAAACAACTTACACATGGTCATAACTGGATAGCTCAAGAAAATGTCACTTCAGTGCACAACAATCAGAAAGCAAAGACAGTGTCAACTTGTGTAAGAGATGAGAGTAATACTAAACACATTAAAATGTCATTATATAAATTAATGAAATTGAAACTCTGAAAATTCTGTTCAGCTTGATTACTTAACCTCCAAATGGTAAAAGCAGAAATAGAAGAAGCTCCAAAGAAGGTTAATGGGTCTCATTATAGCATGGACAAATTCTCATATGAACAGAAATTTAAAAAATGACAACTATTTAGGTCTAAGACAAGAAGAAAAAGAAGTGATCCTACAGAGCTATAAAAAATAACAAATAGTTGAAGAAATACCACTCAATAGCAGTAATTGTCATAAGAGAAGCATATGGGTTACATCCAAGGAGGAACCAAAACATGATATGGATAAAACAAAATATTTTGTAATATACTGCATAGTTAATATATGGAATTTCAATACATGGATTTTATTTTGAAATTCGAGGGCTTAGCAGGAATCCATAAAGATTGTATTAAACAGATAAAACAGATTTAAATGTAATTATACATTAGCATTAAAGAGCATATGAGACATGAATCCTCAGCTCAGCACAATCCCTGTCTTGAACCAGAGGCAGGACTTTGCATTGTTTCCTTCATATACCTGCTATCAACCACTGTTAAAGGGAGGAAGTGAATGCATCAAAAACCTGCTACAGTTTACAAGCATTATGTAATGCTTGGTCTTACTGTCCTTTCCCCAAAGGCATGAGAGTCTCAGTCTAAGTTTATATTATAAAGTGGTGAAAATAATTAAGAGCAGCTCTCCGGGGAGGGGGAGAGGGGGAAGCTTCTCAGATAATCCAACTGCCATACATATCTTGCCAGGCTGCTTATCCCAGACCACCTCTAGCCTGGACCAGTGGACTGACATTTTCTGCATGGAGCATAGTAGGTACACGCCAGGAGTGTGTCTTCTGCCTAGTTTCATCCCAAAGAAGCCGACCTTGCACACAGCGATGCTGCTTTCCTTCACCCCTCACTCTCCACACATCTTCAGCAACTCCATGTCCAGGGCAAAACTATGGAGACAGCTGGCAAAGAACAAGCCCTGTGTTGTGGGGTGCACCCAGGGCAGTCCTTTGGCAAGCCTGGGTCAGCCTGAGAGTTGGGACGTTGGTATGGGCATGGAGGGGACCTTTCCACGGAAGGAAAGGTCCCCAGCCTAACCACAACACTCATCTGTCTTCAAAAGCACTAAGGGAAGAATTGACTCTAGGGTGATAATGAAATCCTAGTATTAAAAATACCTTTCTTGGTGCTTTCATCTCAGAAGTGTTACCTGTTCAGGCTGTCCTGAATCACAGGCCGTACCACACTGAAAGGGGAACCTGAGATCGTGAGGGGTCACAGGTCACTGGTCCTCAGGTCACAGTGTCTACAGAGGGCCAGCCATACAGAGGGTAGCCTGGAGACAGCAGGCCAAGCTGGGGTTAGGCAGGCACTGCAAACCCTGTGGAGGCTTTGGCCCTCCAGAACTGCAGACAGAAGGGCAAAAACCTCCTGTTTTCACAAAACTAAGAAAGAATATTAAAAATTCTCCCTTCCCTTCCTAGTCACAGATTTGCATGTAGGCACACAGATGTCACTAAAACAAACAAAAACAAACAGAAAACCAAACAAAGCAAACAAATGCAAAACAACCTTCAGTAAAAAAGATTCAATCTCATTTTCCCTCCAATTCGTCAGCGCTGCCAGTACCAGCTGTACTTGCAACAGAAGCTGGAAAGTGCAGAGACCCTGAACAGAAAATAATAATAATACTAATAAATGACTGATAGCCCCCACAACTTCTTAAACTGTTTCCCATCCATGTTTCTTGTTTTGAATACAGTGCTAAAGTAGACATAATCTAAAGTCATTTTAAATATGTTCATTTACAACAGCTAAAAAAATTATTAATAACCATTGCTGCATAAACTCCTCTGGATTATCTATACCTTTCAACGGGGCTGGGAGTCATTCCCCCCTACATTTTGGTCTATTCCAATTCTGACAGAAATCACATGAAAATCATTTATCCATTTGTCTCTCGTTTTCAAAACTTAACCAATTAGAGCTAAATTAGGTAGCACTGTAGACAATGAGCTACAAAAGTCTGAGGTGTAACAAACTACTGTATTAATTGCATACAGCAAAATTACTAAACAGTTTAAACCACTGCCACATGCAGACAGATTTCGACACCGCAGCTTATTTGCAGGACAGTTCTTAATCTATTGTGGTTTGACAGAACCATGTAAGAACTAAGGGAGCTGTTTTGTTCTCTGGCAGTCCTGAGCTTATCACAGGGGAAGGGCTATGTTCTTTCTTCTTTCCTGGCCAACGGGGAAAACTGCCAACTGTACCCTCTTTCCTAAAGGGGAAATCCTATTCTCAGTAGTTCCTCAATACAAAGGTCTCCCCCCCCCCCCGCCACTCCCCCAAACTTTTAATGCTAAGGTCTATAATGAAAGACATTTTCTGACATGGACAGTGGTCATGGAAGTCATAACCTGCTGAGGAGTTTGTAACAACTCACCTGATGAATCAACTAGGCCTGAAAATGGATGGCACTGGAGCATCGGGCCCATACCCAGCCGTCACAGGTGTGACCAGCAGGTTGAGGGAGGTGATTGTCCCCCTCTACTCCACCAGCATCCAGATTTGGGGCTCCCAGCACAAGAAGGATGTGGACCTGTTACAGCAGTTCCAAAGGAGGTGCCACAAAGATGATGAGAGGGCTGGAGCACCTCTCCTACGAAGAAAGGCTGAGAAAGCAGGGGGTGTTCAGCCTGGAGAAGAGAAAGCTCTGGGGGGACCTCATTGCGGCCTTTCAGTGCTTAAACGGATCTTATGAAAAGAATAGAGAAGGACTTTCTACTTGGGTAGAAAGTAGATGATAGGACAAGGGGGAGTGGTCTTAAACTAGAAGAGGATAGATATAGATTAGAAGGAAATTCTTCAGTGTGAGGGTAGTGAGGCATGGAAACAAGTTGCAGAGAACTTGTGGAAGCCCCATCCCCGGAGGTGTTCAAGGCCAGGTTGGATGTGACCTTGGCCAACCTGATCTAGGGGATGGCATCCCTGTCTATGGCAGGAAGGATGGTGTTACATGATCTGTAAGGTCCCTTCCAACCCAAGCCATTCTATGACAACTGTAGTCCATCACTGCGTAAGTGCTGTAAGAAACTTCTAGTTAAAGACATTTTTTACATGCAACTCCAGGAGCATCATGTTTGGAGAACAGAATTGTGTTAGAAATACTTCAGTTCAGCAAAACAATTTTTAATAGCATCTCTAGTAATCTCTGATGCATCTGCTCCTACATTCTTCTCTGTACCACCTAATGTCAGCTTAGAGATCAGCTTTTCACCATCCCAGTTATCTGCTAAAGCTCTTACCAGGTAGATGCCTGGCTCCTTGTATAAAAGGAAAAAATAAATCTGTTAGCCCCCCCAACCCCTGTACTCCTGCACTGTGCCTACATACCTAGTCAATATTTGGTTGGAAGCCAACCTGCTCTAGAGGCTTCACAGGAAAGTGAAACATAAAACAATGTGGTACTGTGCTTCCTAGTGACTCTTAAATTCTCTTTCATCACTGTAGAAACATTCTTTAGGGTGTACATGTGTATTGCTTGCACTCCAAACCAGCTCTGCTTCAAATCAGGGAGTCTCACTGTAGTTTGCCATCTTCACACACAGAACTTCAGTCTAGCAACTGCTCACACTTCATATTTTGGAGGATATATGAGAAAAGAATAGGTTACAGAGAGTATTCTGGCATACTTTACAAATCAGAGATTAGTGGGCTTTATCTTTCAATCTGAGGGGAAAGTTAAATCTTAGAAGTTGTGAGATAAGCTAAAGGAATTGTACTGGATTTTCTACTGTAAGTAGGTCTGATCTGTAGTTAAAAAAAAAAAAAAAAAAAAAAGAGGTCACTGGCATTTCACATGTGATTCCCACACTGGTCTACATGTGACCATCCTCTAAACTGAGTTTATCATACGATTTCATGATCGGATGTTCTCAATCTACTAATATTTTATGGAGTGAATATATGAAAGCATATCTGAAAATATTCAGAATTTTTCCAGGGACAGTTTTGGGATAAAAAGTGACACTGTTTAATTGTTAAATGAATTATATATCATTTATTATGATACACAATTAATTCAGAGCCATTTATGCAGTCCTTTAGATGTTATTTGATAGCTTATT